TCGTGATGGCACCTAATCTCTAAGACTAAGTAAGCCTAATATTCATGCAGAATATAACTGAAATAATAATTAAAGCCTCAACAACTCAACAACTAATATAAAATAGAGTCCGCAACTCAGCATTTACAATTTCCCAAAACCCGGCAAATACAAGTCACAAGCTCTATGAAGTGGTATTTAGTATCTCTATACATCAATGTCTATAAAAGGATAAGGAAATAAAATAATCTATGTAGAGGGGGGACTCCAAGATCTGCGGACGCTAGCAGGTATACCTTGAAGTCTATGAAGTTGAGCTCTCGCTAGTGCCTGGACTGGTAAGAGGTACCTGGATCTACACAAAAGGATGTGCAGAAGTGTAGCACGATTACACCACAACGGTACCTAGTAATTGCCAAGTCTAACCTCGGTAGAGTAGTGACGAGATTAGGTCAAGGCCTTACTAGAATAAATAAGAAACTAAGCAAGTATATAAAAGTGAAATAATGATAACAATAGAAAGGAGACAAAAAAGAAATACACCAAGAATAACTACACTGGACTAAGTCAAATAATGCATCACAGAAGAAAACAAGGGATGCTATGACACAGAACAAAATAACAAAACACAAGTGAAGAAATAGAAAGTATCAACAAGAGTCACTACCGAGGTATCGCCTTGTAGTCTCAAATCACAAATCAATTCACATTCTTTCCTTATATCACCGCGGGAGCCTTGCATTTAGTTTTGAAAATCATTTTCCCGAAATAGCTTCCTGCATTTTAGCCCACCTTATCCCACCACATGCATTTCAACCCCAAAACATTATACCACCACATGCGTATCAATATCACAATGTATCACAAATCGCACCTTAAGTGCCCAATATCACCACTTGCCAAAGAAAGCAACAATAAAGGTGTTTCACAATAAATAGCCCATGGCTCAACCACAATGTACACAAGAGTCTCAACAATAACAACCGGAAGTGAATAACTCAATAGAATAGTATTTCACAACTTAACACTTTGCCTCAATGTGAGTCCCGACCCTTATAACTCAATACCAGTTTCAACAACCAGATATTCTAAGAATAACAACTTCAGGTAAAGAATTCATCGTTAAATAATGAATAAGGAACAAAGGAGACAACAACTTCAACTAAACATGTAGGGCAATTAACAAGTAAGAGATAAGACAAGTAGAGTATGTGAATATAGACTAGAAATGATGATTATAACATGTTAAGGTAACTCAATTTAGCTAACGACGAGGTAAGCATGAAAGGAATCTACATAGCTAAAACCGGTAAATTTTCACATTTAGGCCGTGCACACACTCGTCACCTTGCGTACACCGCTTTCACACATCACAATTATCACAAAACAACACCAATAATAAGGGGTAATCCCCCCCCCCNTTTCCCTCGATTACCCAACTCCGAACGGCTCAATCTAGCCAAAACAACTTCATACCATAAATATATACTATAGGAAACTATTTTGAATAATAAAATTACAATCTTTGCAATGAAGTTTAGCATAAGAAGTTTCACAATTCTCCTTTCAAATCCCCTTTCCAATCTCCAAAACTTAGCATAAGAAGTTTCACAAATATTTTCCCAAATTTCCAACTTAAAACACTAATTTAATGATGAAATAAACAATAGATTCATGTAATTTAACCAAAACCGAGTTAGGATTTCTTACCCCAATGATTTCCTTGAAAATCTCTGAAGTATCGCCACAAACCAAGCTCTCTAGGCCCAAAAATGGATTATGAAATCAAACCCTCGAACTTAGGCTTTTTCTGCCTAGTGATTCCGCACCTGCTGCCACTCAGTCACATATGTGATGCCGCACCTACAGAAAATCCAACGCAGGTGCGGTTCCCACTTAAGCTCTGAAGTTCCGCTTTTGTCGACAATGGCTCGCACCTGCGAGCCCGCTTCTGCGGAGAAAGCGACCCACTTGTGGTCCTTCCCAATGCATCCTCTATTTCCGCTTCTATGAAGGCAAGTTTGCGCTTGGGGAGGCACACCTGCGCCCAGGTGTTCGCACCTGCGAGCCCAGAACTGGGATGCCAACTCTACTTCTGTGCTTCACCACTCGCACCCGCGAATCCAAACCTATGGCTAACTCCTCTGCAGGTACGATTACACCAGAAGGGCTGATGCTTGATCAACATGATCAAGTGCAATTTTGTATTTGGGTTCAATCCAAATCATACCCGGGGCCTCTGAAACCCTGTCCGAATATACCAACAAGTTCCAAAATATATAACGGACCTACTCGAAGCCTAAAATCAAATCAAACAACATCAATTCTACGAATCGCAACCCAATTCAAGCCTATGAAACTATGAACTTCCAAATTCGAAAAACTAATGTCGATTCATTCCAAAATAACTCCGATTGACTTCAAACTTTGCACACAAGTCATAAATAACATGATGGACCTATTCCAACTTCTGTAATTGGAATCCGATCCCGGTATCAATAAAGTCAACTCCCGGTCAAATTTTCCAGCCTTCCAAACCTTTAACTTTCTAGCTTTCGCCAATTCATGCCGAAACGACCTATGGAACTCCAAATCAACATCTGGACACACTCCTAAGTCAAAAATCACCATACGAAGCTATTGGAATAATCAAAACTCCATTTCGGAGTTGTCTACACAAAAGTCAAACTACGGTTAACTCTTTCAACTTAAAGCTCCAACTTAGGGACTAAGTGTCTCATTTCACTCTGAAACTCACCCGAACCAAAACCAAACACCTCCGACAAGTCACATAGCCATAATACAACATAGAGTAGGAAAAAAATAGGGGATCGGGGCTAAAATACACAAAATGGCCGGTCGGGTCATTACATATTATCTATTTGAAATTTACATAAATAGAAATATAAATCCTAAACTACCGCTAACAATTGCTACCTTGTATCTGGAGTGCTGATACATCTTCAATGCAAGGCTCTGTCTTCCACAGCTATGCAGCTCCAAGTTCTTCATGCAAGGTGCAGAAGTGTAGTATGTGTACAACCGACCTCATGTACTCTGTAAGTATCTTGACTAACCTTAGTGAAGTAGTGGCGAGGTTTTTAAGTCAAAATATACTCACTAATATAACCTATGCAGTAGATTGCAATAGAAACAATACTGGAAATAACAGATAAGAGTACATGAACAAACATGCGAAACAGTAAATGATTAGTTAAAGAAATCACAGTCAGTTTTCACAATATCACAACCAATCCTTTTCTTAAAGTGATAACAACCAAACAACATAGTAAATCCATGAATCTTCATAGTATGAGGAATGCGTTGAAGATATCAAGTCAAATGGCACGACAACACCCTTCGTGCATTTTTCTCATCCTCACCAAGCATATGTATAACAATACCAACCAGGTAAAAGAAATGGCAATAACAGTAACAACAAAGTGGAAAATACACAAGTAGCAATATCAAACAAGGTAGAGAAAATGGACAATGGTAACAGGCAGGGTGGGAAGCACATAAGTAATTATATAAATTAAGGTAGGAGAACATAATGTAATGAACCTACCGGTCGTTTTATGTATTTGTGCCCGATTTTCCCTTTTGATGCTTCACACATGTGCATTTGTGGCTTTATGACTTGCGGGGTTGGTTAGTTTCATCCCGGAAAGATTTAGGGTTGATTGGACACTTTGATTGTTCGCTTAGAAGCCTAAGTTGATTATATTGACCAATGTTTGACTTTTGTGAAAATGACCCCGGAACGGTGTTATAATGCAGCTTGAGTAGTAAAGTTTTGTACTATGAATGCATAAGCAGGTAAAGAGTCCATGTGTTGAGCTACCAAAGAAGGTGCGCCATGCCATGGTTTAAGATTTAGGCTCCATAGGCGAAACTCTGTTTAGGTATTAGGGAGGGGAGGACACCACTCAGCACCACTCCGTAGGGTTCAATGCCCTAACCCCAATCCTTTTACCCATTAACATCTTAGAAAATTTCACAAAACCTTTATCACTTAGTTTTCGAACGAATGGATCGGATCGACTTGGAAAATGGAAAGCTTTGTACAAGTTATACGTTTTGTCACCACTTTGTGGAATGCACGTCGTGGTGGAAAAATATGGGTACTTATATTTCCAGAAAAACCAATTACACTAAGACCCGCAAAAACACCTAACATAATGATAAACGGCTCGTCTCGCCATGACCTTCTCTTAAATTCTCAAAAGAACTTTTGTCGCACCCTAATCTATTCTATAGATATTTGGACTAGAGTTGACAAACAAACAAAACTAGCTATATACTTTCTTAGTATCGAATAGAAATCTAAATGGGGCGTGGCCAAGTGGTAAGGCAACAGGCAACTTGAGCAATCAAAGCTACGCCCTCTTCCGCTGCTGACTATGAACACTTTCTTGCTAGGTGTAATCCGTTGGACATAGATCCAATTTTCCACTTTTTTGGACTGCTTGGAATTTCTTTTTCCTATTCCTGGTGGTATCAAAATGCCAAGTAGTTGGATCATAATCTCTTACATTAAAAATGGATGCATGCGCGACAGCACCATCTATGAGAAATCCACCCATCCATATGTGATGTGTGAACAATGATAGTTGTGTATCATAATCAGTAGCTAGATACGGATACGGGGACAGGCCAGGGATGAATCGAAAAAGAAATCTTTATTGGTTCTACCTCCTATTTTTTATGAAGAGAATGAATCTTTTTCTCGAAGGATCAGAAAAAAATAGGTCTGGATCTCCTATGGGAATGATTTGGAAGATCCAAAACCAAAAATTGTGGTATTTTCTAGCAACAACATGTTTTTATAAATAATGAATGGAGTTCCTTCTTCCATCCTATCCCATTCACTGATACTGATTTTACTTATTCAAATAACAATTAAGGTGATGCAAGGTCAGGAACGACGAATCTCTTTATGATAAACAGATTCATTTTGCAAGTTCTTTATTATGGGTAGTTCCTACAAAGGATCATAGATTTCGAGTTTTATGTTGATCAGGCGACACCAAGATTTGAACTAGAGAAAAAAGGATTTGTAGTCCTCTACCTTACCACTCGGCCATGTCGCCAAAATACTACAAATAGAAAATAGATGAAAACTTTCCCGGATTATTGATGATTCTACCTTAGCTCTAAAGTAAGAAGACCACTTAAAAACCCTCATCGGAAAAGGCATTCCCAGATCACCAGATCATAGTCTTAGGGTCACTACAAGCTGGAATCATCGTGAAACTCACTTATTCTTAGAAAAATGATGTGTGCTAGCCGAACATCAGGTAACTTCGTACGATAAAACGACAGATTGATAATGAAAAGAGGGAGATCTTTCATATCTTTCGAGATCCACCCTACCATATGGGGAAGCAGTTTTGTTGTTGGAATCCTTTTTTAACGAATAAGTTAATGGTCGAGTAAGAAATAAGAGTAGTAGATCATATACGCAAATCTTTGATGATTTGTGAAAACTTCTGGATAGGTATCCTTCATCTGAACCGAATTCTTTCTGGTTAAAGAATCTCTTTCTAGTTTCTCTTGAAACCAGAAAAATTTTCAAAATCCTTTTCGTTTTTGGAGTTCTCAACAACAAACACCTACCCCTCTATTAGAATAGAAATTCATAAAAAATTAGATTTGAACTCTATTGCATAATTGATTATAGAACGGTTTGAAGAGGTGCATATCTTGCCCGGATCTATGGCTTTAATAGGTTTGTATCATGATTTTGGACTTGGAAGTATGTCTGGAATCAAATTCGGATGTCCGCAGGTTGATTTGTGTTGTATTATCGAACGTTGGCAATTTGAGGTTTAGAAGTTTGACCGTAAGTTGACTTTTAGCGATCGGGTTTAGAATATATTTTTGGGACTTGGAATAGGTCTGTTATTCTATTTAGAACTTGTCTGCAAAATTTGGTGTCATTTGGAGTTGATTTTATAGGATTTGGACGCTTGGTTGCAATTCTAGAGATTCTTGAACTTTTCTTTGAAACTCATGCGTTTTGATATCTGATTCGTAGTCCTAGATGTTATTTTTGTATTTTGATCATGCGAGCGAGTTTGTATTATATTTTTAGACTTGTTTGGATGTTTGGTTTGGAGCCCAGAGGGCTCGGATGGGTTTCGGACGTGTTTCGAAATGGTTTGGACGGAAATAGGATTTTCTTGTGTGTTGGTGCTCTGATGTCTCAATTGAGAGAACCAGCCTCGCAATTGCAAGCATGGAAGGGGAGGCTCATGTATCACAAATGTGATACCTTGTTCGCCATTGCGAAGTAGTACCTGGGCAGCGTGTTGGTTCCCCAAGTACACGCAAGTATACGTGGCCGCCAAGTAATAAAGTGACTCGAAAGTCGGATGTCGAACCCACAGAGACTTAGATTAACCATTATCTAAGCAAACTAAAATCAACTTACTGCCCAAGATGATCAAAAGTTTAACTTTTCTATTACAACTACTATTGCAAAATTCAAACACGTAACCAAGGGAGATATAGATTCCAGGGTTGTGGTCGGTTTATCAATCCTATTGAGTTCGTAATTACACCAGTTAATCCAAATTATCTATGATTTCTAGTTGACCGGATAATTTATATAAATAGCATGTTCCCACAATACTATCCGTCTATCCATAATATATCAACCCTATATTCCTATGGTCTTGAATCTATCATGAATGAATATAATACGGTATTCCACTAAGCAAGATTGTTAGGTATATTCCTATCCTAACCGCAAAATCTTTACCCGAGCCATGGGTTCAGAAATAAGCTCTCTCCAATTCTACTCTAATATAAATACTGCTTTCACAAGCATAGCATAGATAGTAAATAGAACTCAACTGCTGGCCAAACAATTAAGCAATTATGCACAGAATTAGAGAAACAACCAAAGAAGATAACTCGAATTAATGGTAATATAATTAATAAACTTCAATATTCATGACAACCACAACCCTAGAATGTGAAGTTTAGCTCCACATAGACATGGTAGCAAAACAACAAATCATCAAGAAAAAGTAAAGATTACTAAATTTGATGGAAGAAAGATGGAATCTAATGAATTCCGGCCTCCACGGTGGCTATGTGCTCTCCCTTTGTCTAATCCACTAAAAATTGTGTTTTTGAACTATTTATAGGTGTAGGGAAAAGACCTAGATGAAATAACCAAGTCCAAAACCAAATAGGATACAAAATAGGCTTTAAAATTCCGGAACACCCTCGCTACAGGCCTCGCGGCGCGAGGTAACACGCGAGCCTCATCTCGCTATATCCTTGGCGGCGCAAGCTTCAACGTGCGACACATCCTCACTGAAGACCTCGCCTTGCGAGGTATAATGCGAGACTATTGGCTTGTTTTGCCTGACTGCTGCTTCGCTTTTGTGCTTAGCTACCTAACGTTGCCATTTCTTTTCTCTTCTTCTTCAATTCTTCTTTTGTCTTTTTCTTTGTAATGTTAAACTTTAATCCTTGTATATCCAATAATTAAATAATCATAACTCCATTCTTGAAGTGTATAAAATACACATAAAATCTCTATTTTGCACCCAATTTCGTATTTAACGTACCTATACATAAAATAAACTCAATTAAGCACAAATATAGTATAGTTTAGCATTAAAGCACCTAAAATGTAGGGTAATTAATGCATTAAAAATGTGAAATTATAGCCAAACATCACAGCGTAGGATCACATTTGTGATAATTGTGTCTCATTTGTGATGGGAATAGGGTTTGTATTTGTGAACTCATTGTCGCATTTGCGACTTATCCCTTAGGCTGTCACTAGCCGATTTTGAGAGGAATTCTTCGCAATTGCAAGGGTTCACCAATTGTGTCGCATTTGCGATGGGAACAGGGTTCGCATTTGCGAACCCATTATCGCATTTGCGACATATCCCTTAGGTTGTCAGTAGCCGCTATTGCGAGGAATTCATCGCAATTGCGAACCCAGTGTCACAATTGCGACATCTGCAACTGAACAAAAGTTAGAAAAGTCAGGATATACGTCTCATTTATCATATTTAAGAACAATAGACTCGGTAGGAGGCGATTTGGAGTGGGGATTTTCATCTACAAATATTGGGTAAGTGATTCTTTCAACTATATTTCATGATTATATCTTAGATTTAACATCAAAGTTATGAGAATCAAAGTGGAAAATAGGGGATTTTTGTCAAAGTTTTAAAAATAAAGGTTTGAGTTTTGAGAGCCGATTTGGACTCGGATTTGAAAACAAAACACATATATGGACCCGTGGGGTTATGGGTAGTCAGAATCTACGCTTGGACCCGGGTTATGACCGGCGAGCTCGGAGTTGACTTTTGTTGTCTTTTGAGAAATGTATAAAGATCATAGCTTTATCAATTGTAATTGGTTTTCCTTGCATTGTTTGATGATATTAATTCATTTTTTGTTATATTTGAGCCATGTGGAGGCGCATTTTAGAGGAAACACTAATTTCGAGGGTTGATTTGGCCTAGTTGAGGTAAGTATCTTGCCTAACTTTGTTTGGGTGAACTATCATCTTCAGCTACTGAGATTCGAAGTTTCCTTCGTTTGGCCGGATATTATCGCTATTTCGTAGAGGATTTCTCGTCCATCGCTGCACCTTTGACTAGATTGACCCAGAAGAGTGCTCCTTTCAGATGGTCTAAGGAGTGCGAGGTGAGCTTACAAAAGCTCAAGACTACATTGACTACAGCCCAGTGTTGATATTTCCTATGGGTTTGGGGTCTTACACTGTGTATTGTGATGCATTGCGTGTTGGGCTTGGGCGTAGTGTTGATGCAAGATAGAAGGCTAATTGCCTACGCGTCTAGGCAGCTGAAGGTTCATGATAAGAACTACCCGGCCCGCGACTTGGAATTGGCAGCTATTGTTCATGCAGTAAAGATTTGGAGGCATTATCTATACGGTTTCCCATATGAGATCTATACCGACCACCGGAGTCTTCAGTATCTGTTCAAGCGAAAAGATCTTAATTTGTGATAGTGGAGATAGTTAGAGTTGATGAAATACTATGATCTCACTATTCTATATCATCCCGGAAAAGCCAATGTGGTGGCCGATGCCTTGAGTAGAAAGGCGAAGAGTTTGGGCAATCTGGCATATCTACCGGCAGTAGAGAGGCCACTAGCTATGGATGTTTAGGCCTTGGCCAACCAGTTTGTTAGATTGGATGTTTCGGAGCCCAGCCGGGTTCTTGCTTTTGTGGTTTCTCGGTCTTCTTTATATGAGCACATCAGAGAGTGTCAGTATGACGACCCCCATTTGCTTGTCCTTAAGGATACGATACAGCACAACGATGCTAGGGAGGTTTCTATTGTGGATGACGGGGTGTTGCGGATGCAGAGCCAGTTATGTGTGTCCAATGTGGATGGGTTGTGTGAGTTAATCCTTGAGGAGGCCCATAGTTCGCGGTATTTGATTCATTTAGGTGCCGCTAAAATGTATCAGGACTTGAGGCAGCACTATTGGTGCAGGAGAATGAATAAAGACATAGTGGAGTATGTGGCTCGATGCCTGAACTGTCAGTAGGTGAAGTACGATCACTAGAGGCCGGGAAGTTTGCTTCAGAGACTTGAGATTCCCAAGTGGAAGTGGAAGCATATTAACATGGATTTTGTTGTTGGGCTTCCAAGTATTTTGAAGAAATTTGACGCAGTATGGGTGATTGTGGACAAGTTGACCAAGTCTACTCATTTCATTCTGATGGTGACTACCTATTCTTCAGAGAAGCTGTCTTAGATATATATCCGTGAGATTGTTCATCTCCATGGTGTGCCGGTGTCTATTATCTCTGATCGAGGCACATAGTTCACATCGCATTTTCGGAGAGCCGTGCAGCATGAGTTTGGCACACGAGTTGAGTTGAGTACAACATTTCACCCATTGTTCTCCATTTGGTTGGTTTGAGCCGGGAGAGGCTAGGTTGCTGGGCACAGATTTGGTTTGAGTTGCCTTGGAGAAAGTCAAGTTGATTCATGATCGGCTTCATACAGCCCAGTCTAGACAGAAGCGTTATGCTAATTTGAGGTCTCGTGATGTAGTATTTATGGTTCGAGAGAGGGTT